CTGTCGGCGATCTCATAGCAAGCGTCGACAATCACTTCGTGACGACGAGGTGATCCCACATCAGTTGCGATACTTGCATGGTTGGCATTTCCCAGGGGGGCGAGGTCCTATTTGGGTCTGCGTATAACGTCAGCCCTTTGGACTTCACAGGAGTCTCTACAATAGTGGCGACACGTACACACTCGACAGCACCCAGGGAGGCGAGAATGAGTCTGCGTCGGACGTCGCTCCTCCGGACCTCCCAGGAGATCACGGCAGTGGCTGCAGTTGCGCTGTTGGTACTGGCCAGGGAAGCGAGGTTCCTCCTGGGTCCGCGTAGGACGTCGCTTCGTTGGATTTCCCCAGAGTTCACGGAATTGGCAACGCGCGTGCGGGTTGCACAGCCAGGGATGCGAAGTCCCGCCTGGGTGTGCATCGAACGTCACGCCGTTGGGCTTCCCAGGAGACTGCGACAGCGGCGACGGTTGTGAAGTGCTCAGCGCGCGGGGAGGCCAGGTCCCGCGGGGGGCCTGTGCAGACCGTCACTCTCCTGAGCCTCCCGACCACTGGCGAAAGCTGCGCAGCTGCCACCACCCAGGGGGGGCGAGGTCCAGTTTGCGTCTCCGTCGGACGTCACACTGCTGAACCTCTTCAGGAGCTCGGGGAAGGGCTGGAGCTGCGCAACTGGCAGCGCCCAGGGAGGCGCAATCCCAAACGCGTGTACGGAGGGCGTCATTCCGCTGGCCTTCCAAGCAGCTCATTCAAGTGGCCGCAGTCGCGCAGTTGGCATCACCCATAGAGGCGCGGTCCCGTGTGGGTCTGCGTAGGACGTCGCTCCGTTGCACCTCCCAAGAGCTCGTGAAAGCGGTGTCAGTTCTACGGTTGGGGACGCCCGGGGATGCGAACCAGGCGAAACAATGAGGGGCAATGGAGAGAACACGTGGAGGCATCGGAGGCATCGGATGCACCGAAGACGAGGGGAGGAGACAGGACGAGCGAAGAGGCGGGATGAGGTGACGCTCACTTCTTCTACACGAGCGACTGGTAGGGGAACGCAAGCCGGGTAGGCGAACTTCTCATCGTTTTTTCAGTTTGTTGTGAGGCGCGTTTGCGCTGGGCCCGCGGACCATCATAGCATGAGCAGCGATGAGGCAGCGGTCCGCGGGACGGGGCCGAGAGTCCAGGGACCCGCGCCGCAAAGAGCAGCTAGAGTGTCTGATTCTCTGCGGACGGGGATGAGAGACCATGATGGCCCCATCCTCCCCTCCCCTCCCCCCCTCCCCTCCCCTCCCCTCCCTCCCCTGCCCTCCCCTCCCCTCCCTCCCCTCCCCTCCCCTCCCCTCCCCTCCCCTCCCCTCCTCCTCCTCTCGTGTGCAAGGAAGTGTGAATGCTGCTGTGAACGTTGGCTTTGGGAGTGTCTTGCCAAGGCAAGGCCGCTGGCTTGGAGGGCCCGAGTAAACAATATGGTCTATTGTTTACACCTCTTGGGGTTTGCGCCCATAGTGTGTGCAAGCAGTGTCGGCATAGTGCCGACGCCACGGTGCAAAGAAGTTCAGGGGCATTGTCGTGAGCAAACAATGATGGCCCCATCCTCCCCTTGCTCATCCGAGTTGTTTCGTCAGTTCTTCACGCTCGCGTATCCCCACCAGCCCACTCAGAAGCCCTGCCCATGTGAGCTGACGGGAAAAGGGACGAAGCGACCCATATAGTGAAACAAAGCGGGCAGCCAGGGTGGGCAGAAAGATCTTTGGAGCAAGGGGGTGGCCCCGTGAGGGGGCGAGGAACTGAGGAGAAGGAGGATGAGAAAAAAGATGATGATGGTGGTGATGATGGTACTGCTGCTGACGATGATGCTGCTGATGCTGATGCTGGTGATGATGCTGCTGATGATGATGTTGCTGATGATGATACTGCTGATGATGCTGATGCTGCTGCTGATGATGCTGCTGATGATGCTGCTGATGATGATTATGATGACGATGATGATGGTGGTGATGATGAGGAGGAGGAGGAAGAGGAGGAGGAAGAGGAGGAAGAAGACGACGACGACCACAATGACGAGGAAGAAGAGTAACAGGCAACGGAAGACGATGTGGGCAAGGACGAGGACGATGACGAGGAGGATGAGGATGACGATGATTAGGAGGATGATGAGGACAACGAGGACGAGGACAGAGCTCTCAACATTGCCTTTTGGAACCCTCTTGAGGCTCTTTTGGGGGATCTTGGGGTCCTCTTGTGGCTCTTTTGAGGGGTCCTGGGGCCCTCTTAGGGTTCTTCTGGGGGCCTCTTGGGAGCCCTGGATGCTCCGAACGTTTGGTCTCGAAATCGCCCCTTGGGGCCCTCTTAGGGCGCTCTTGGGGCGATGTTGGACGCTCTTAGGGCCGTCTTCGGGGCCTAGTGGGCCCATCTTGGGGCTCTCTTGGACCATCTTGGGGCCATCTTCGGGCAACTAAAACGCATCGGACGCAAAAAGGCGAAAAAAGCCAAACTCATGGATTTCCCTTCATATTTATGAAAGATTTTGGCCTCATCGGGTGGTCTTCAAGGGCTCCGAGAGCACTTGGAGGCGTCCTGTGACCCTCGTGGGGCCACTTGGAGGCATGGTGGGAGCCATCTTGAGCCACCGTCGGCTATCTTGGGCAATCTTGGAGGTCATCTTGGAGCATCGGCGGCCCTTTTGTAGCCACCTTGAGCGAAAAAGGACCCCCTGCCACCTCGCGGCCCGCCCAACAAAAAACCTCAGGAAGTGAAGGGGGAGGGTACCCCTCCCCAAAGGGAAGAAGGGGTTTTGGAAGAGGAAAGACAACACTGTTAGACCACCTTAGCCCGAGGGGCTGGGGGGATTTTATTTGTTTTTTCTCTATCTCTCTCTCTCTCTCTTTCTCCCCTCTCTCTTTCTCTCCTCCCTCTCTCTCTCTCTCAGCGCCCCCACCCTCTGGCAGCCCCCCGCCGCAAGGTCCACAACGCCCGAGGAGAAGCCCCCTCTGCACGAGTTGCCCTACCACAAGATGGGGCTTCCCAAAGAGCAGGAGGGCACCGGGGGTGGGGGGCGCCCTCCACGCGGGTCGTCGTGGGGTCGGTCAGCAGGCTGGGCATGAGTTGTGGGGCCGAGCACGGGGGCTTCACAGCTGGGGGGGGAGGCGGGGGATGAAGACGATGATGAGGATGACAGGAGGTGTTCCAGGGGCTTTCGCGGGGGGCTTTCGTGGCGTTCCACAGGGCTTCCCTGGGAGTTCGGTGGGTCTTCCAGTGGGTTCGAGGAGACGGGGAGACGGGTGGTGATGGAGGAAATGCAGGTGGAGGAAGCGGATGCACCAGCGAGTCATGCTAGGCTGGCCAGGAAGGAGGGATCGATTCGGGATGTCGGCAGGAGCATCGACTGTGAGGACTGAGGGGCTCAGGGGGCAATGGGGTGGTTCCTGGTGGCGACACGACCAGGTGCTGGCCGATGTGCAGGTCATTGCTAAGGAGGAAGAGGCGGAAGAAGAGGACGAGGATTAGGAGGATGAGGATGAGGAGGAGGAGGAGGAGGAGGAGGAGGAGGAGGAGGAGGAGGAATAATAATACAACTAGTAATACTACTAGTAATACAGAGCAGATGGATAATACTATTATTATTCGTTTTAGTACTTAGAAGAATAAGACACCATAATCATTTTACGAAAAACAAGAACAACGATACCACTAATATTACTACGAAGCATAAGACTACGAACCATACTATATTACTATTGGTATTAGTATTAAGAATACTAGTACGAAGAAACGTAAAACTACGAATACGAATGATAACAAGAAGACGAACATAATCATACTACTACGACTAATAGGAGGAGGAGGAGGAGGAGGAGGAGGAGGAGGAGGAGGAGGAGGAGGAGGAGGAGGAGGAATAGGAGGAGGAGGACGAGGAACACTATTAACAAGAAGAGTTCTCATATTACTAATGACTACTACTATTATGCATCATATCAGCAGTACTAATAGCACTAGTGGTAATAGTAATGCTCATACTTATGATTATATATATATATAGTACGAGTAATACTTTTAATGCTCATACTGAGAATAATAAGAAGAGGGAGGATGAGGATGAGGATGAGGATGAGGATGAGGATGATGATGATGAGGAGGAGGACGAGGAGGAGGAGGCGGAGGAGGGGCGGAGGAGGAGGATGGAGCAGGAGGAGGAAGAGGAGGAGGAGCAGGAGGAGGAGGAGAAGCAGGAGGAGTAGGAGCAGGAGGAGAAGGAGGAGGAGGTGGAGGAGCAGGAGGAGGGCGGAGTTCCGGCAGATTTGCCGTTTTGAGTTGGGGATTTCCATGAGCTGGAGCTCGTGCGTTGGCATGAGAGCGGCAGCATAGTCAGGGGCGAGCTCGGGGGGTTGTCAGAACCAGGTGGCCTGAAGCTCACCAAGCCCGAGCTGGCTGTCGTCCTCAGGGACCTCGCAAAACTGACACCGGGAACTTTGGAACGCCGGTTTTGAGTTCTGTCTTTCGATGATTGAGCATATATGGGTGTCATTCGCCAGGAGATCACCAGCGACGCTGCGGCGTTCCAAAGGAGCTCCCCCGTAAAGGTCAAGGACCCTCTGTGCGCGAGGTTTGAAGGCTCGCATGAACCGAGAGATGATCGACATGAAGGTCGCCGATTGAGCCCTCCATCGCAGGGGTTCCTTCGTGGAGGTGCAAGATTCTGATGGGGAGTGATGCAGTTTCCAGGTTTCCAGGGCTGCACAAGCATGAGGACACCTCCCGGTGGCTGTGGTGCAGACTGCGTGCTGCGCCTTCCCTCTCAGATGCCGCCGCGCGCTGAGCGCGCTTCCCCGAAGGCCGAAGGGACTTTCCGCAGTGGCAGCCTGCGCGCGGACGTCGCCCGTCCTGCCAAGTCGACGCCGACTCCAGACGTCGCACGACCTCGAGGGGCCTCGGCAGGGGGCCACATGCGAACCCTACCCCCACCCCCCACGATTTCTGAGGGGGGGGGTGCGGTTCACTTCGTTCGGGAGCTCCCGAGCGAAGTGAGCCCCACCCTCCCCCTCAGAAATCGTGGGGGGTGGGGGTGGGGTTCGCATGTGGCCCCCTGTCCTCGGCACGAGAGCGCGAGCGCGCGGAGGTGACGGGCGGCGCCGGTGCTCGGCCGCGCCCCGGAGCTGCGGCGGGCCCTCCGCGGCGCCGGGTGCTCGGCCTCGCCCTTTGGGTGGCGGCGGGCCCTCCGCGCCGCATGCGCACCGGGCCGCCGGGCTCCACGAGCGACGCGGAGGCCGCGCAGAGAGGGCCTCTCGGCGGTGCGCAGGGAGAGCCTTTCGGCATCGCTGGCGCCTCCCGCGGAGCGCTCACGCCCGCCTGCAGGTCGCCACCGGTGCTCGTGGAGGCTGCCGCAGGCACCGGCGGCGCGCGGCCCCGCGGGGCGTCGGGAGGCCGCGCCTGCGCCTCTCCCCCGGCCGGAGCACCCGCTCCGTGTTCGGGAGCCTCGAGACGGGGGTCAATGCAGACGGGGGTCAGCCAGGGCGCCAGATCCTGCAGGATCCTGCGAAGACCCCCTCTGGCTGACCCGGGTTAGCGAGCCGCTCGTGGCCGCGAGGCGGCCGCGCATGCTGGCTGACCCGGGTTTGCGAAGACCTGCGTTGCATTTTTTTTTGTTGTTGTTGTTTTTCTCCTGCATTGCAGTTTTTGGTTTCCTGCTGACCCGGGTCTGGATTGACCCAGGTCAGAAGATCCCCGACGTGTCAGTTTTGGCCCATCCTCACGCCCTCCCCCGTCCTCGCCCGTGGAAGTCCTGTGTAAAGGGGGCTGGGGGACGGGGGGTCCTAGAAAACTATGCAACGAGGAAAGCTACAGAGACACCCTTGAGGTATGTATACTGCGGTCTGTGCACATACTTGTGTAAAAGTGTGTCACGTGTGTTTCTGAACTAGTGTGCCAGGCTACTGAGTTGCGAACGTATAGAAATAATGGTGCTGGAGCGCAGGTACTTTTTTTGTGCCGTTAACAGTCCACGCATGTTTGCGTAAGTAGGCTTGTCATACGTTCCGGTGATCAGAGCAAACCTGTCATTGTGCTTGGGTTGGCCATATGTATCCGTTTCGCTCAAGCCTTTGCGCTTCAAGCCAGCACCGTCTTGTCGCATGTGTGGGCGACAATTGTGCGGTCTTTCCTGTTGCAGTCGAAGGCGTCTCCTGGAGAGCTCTGGTGTCCCCCGCACTGGACCGGGTATCATTTGTGTTGTGGTGCATGCCAGAGTGTTGCAACCCGAAGCTGCTTGGAGATCAGCCGCTGACCTTCGCGAGCATCTCCGAGGTGGTCTCTAATGATATTAGCTTGAGGAGGTAGGGCATTGACGCTGAAGCGGCATACCAGGGCGCCGACACGTCAAAGATGACAGGTGAGACGGAAAGTTTGTCCTCAGTGTCGTCCCGTCGGTCGTCAGTTCAGGTTTTTGGCGCGGGCATGTTGCTGGGCATCCTCCATGTCCTGTCCGGCCCCGATCACCTCTCCGCATTGGTGACCCTGTCAGTAGGTGGCTCGTGGCGCGCTTTCCACCTCGGGCTTCGATGGGGCTGTGGCCACTCGAGTGGCCTATTTCTTATGACGTTCCTCTTTTTCCACTTCAAGATCGATCTTGAGAAACTGGGCCCGTACTGTGAGGCTCTGGTGGGCCTCTTCATGATCGCCCTCGGGCTCGGATCTGGGTATCGAGTGCTCCGCGAAGCGACACCAGAGGTGACGATCGAGTTGCAAGGCTTGTCGGAGGCTGGCAGCGACGGCGCAATCAGGCTCGATGGCGATGCGGGGCGACGGCCGATACTGCAGTGGCGACAGAGGGACATCTGCGAGAGGGAGGAGAGAAGAGCCAGAGCCGACAGCGACGGCGAAATGCCGAGCAGAGTCTGGGCCGAAGGGGTGCTGGGGTCCTTGGGCGGTGAACATTCGCACACGGGGACAAGATGGTTGGATATTCGTTCGATCCATAACCCTCTCCTGCAGAAGCTCGCTGCAATGGGGATTGGTATCGTGCACGGCATTGCAGGGCCGGGAGGCGTGCTAGGTGTGGTACCCGCAGTCGAGCTGCACGACCCATTGCTGGCAACTCTCTATCTTGGCAGTTTCTGCGTGGCTTCGATCATTGTGATGGGTGTCTTTGCCGCAGCGTTTGGGGAGGTCACGTCGCGGGTGGCACAGAGGCGCGGCGGGAACGCTGGTCTGTTGAGATGCATGTCGCTGGCGTCTGCGGGACTATCGTTGGTCGTGGGGCTTGCATGGATGGTGCTGCTCTACTTTGGCGTGTTGGATCAGGTCTTCCCCTGAGGTGGTATGATTTGTGGAATTAGTGTCACCTGCCGATGGTCCTCAAGTGGTACGACGGTGGGCGGGCCACTGGAGATGCCAGATGGTGAGTGGTGGGCTGAGTGAGCAATCGTTGTGAAAACCGTCTTTTGGGCCGTCTTGGAGGTCTCTTGGGCCGTCTTGGGGATCTCTTGGGCCGTTTTGGGGCCGTCTTGTTTCATTCTTGGGCCACGCTGGGGCCCTTTTGGGTCATCTTGGGGCCCTCTGGGGGCCTCTTGGGCTGTGATGGGGTCATCTTGGAGGCGTTTGGGGCTGTCTTGGGGTTTCGGAAGTCAGAAAAGGAGAGAACGCACAAATCATTCAAAATCTACGCAACATCAGTGATTTCTGTCTCTGGATGCCATCTTTGGGGTCCTCTTGGGGCCCTCTTGGGTTGTATTGGGGGCCTCTCGGGCAGTCTTGCGGGCCGCCCTCCTCTTGGTCCATCTTCGGCCATGTTGGGGACGTTCTGGGCCGGATTGGCGGTATCGTGGGCTGACTTTGGCGCACGTGGGCCCGCGAGGGACCCGTGGTAGGGCCGAGGGAACAATTACGGTGCGAAATTGGTCGCCGTGCGAAATGGGTCACCGGCTGGGGCGGGGGCCCTGGAGGGATTCAGCGAGGCTGCTTTGAAGAAGGATAATGTGACAACTTATCGACGTTGAGATTCTGTGAACACACGTTTTTCGGACTGCCAAGCCGCTTCGCTGCAGTCTGGACGTGCTTGGGGATATTTTTGGGCTACTTGGAGGCTTGCTGTGGGCCTGTGGGGGCGTCTTAGGGGGCGTTTTGGGCTGTGTTGGGGCGCTCTTGGGCGGCCCTGGCGCCATCGAAGGCTGTCTTGGGGGCCTCTCTGGGCCGTCTTGGTGTCGTCTTGGGGCCTCCAAGCGGCGTCTTGTGGGTTGGGGGTCCCGCGTGCCGTCTTAAGGGCTTTTTGGGCTGTCTTGGGCCATCTTGGCCCGTCCTGGCCTTCTTGAGGCTTTATGGACGTCTTCGGATCATCTTAGAGAATTCTGGGGCTGTCTTGAAGTGTCGGAAGCCCGAGAAGGCGAGACCGCTAAAATCTGTCCAAAGCCTCAGGGGAATCAGTAGTTTTTGTTTCTAGAGGCACTCTTGGGGGTTCTCTTGGAGCCCTCTTGGGCCGTCTTGAGGGCTTCTCGGGCCGTCTTGGGGGCCTTCGGCCATGTTGGGGTCGTGTAGGGGCCGTTTTGGAGCCATTTTAGGCCATCTTGAGACTCTCCAGAGCCGTTTCGAGTCTTTCATTGATTATGAAGAAGTCCAAGAAGTCGAGATCAGATGTTTTACATAGCACCCCGCATCTGCGGTTAAGAGTGAAGGGGGCGGCGGGGTCGTCGGCAGTCTGCGAAGCTCTGAAGACGCCCGCTGTAGGCGCCGATGTCTTTTACGCATGGCACAACGAGCCTGCCGCAGACGCTGTTTTTTTTGTCAAACAACGTGTGGGTGGGTCGCGGGGTGGGTCGCGGGGTGGTCGCAGGGTGGGTCGCGGGTGGGTCGCGGGCGGGTCGCAGGCGAGGATGACGACAACAGCGCAGCAACGCAACGCAACAACAACGCAACTACTATCCGCACCGCAGAACCCCACTTCAGCCACGCACCCAGGGACAGTGAATGATCGTTCGACCCCCTCACTCTGATATGTATATGTACACTTTTGGGCCCTCGAGGGCCCCTCCATCCTGGGGTCGGCAGATGCGGCGTGGCTCCGGTGGGGAGGTTTAGGACGGGTTACATAGTGTTGCCCAGCGTGGGCCCCAAGCCCCAAACAGTGTGTCTCTAGCGATCTATATGGTGCAGTCTATGCTAAATCGATGTGCGCCGTTTGCGCGCCAGGCTTTACTGATTGAGTCTCAGGTGCAGTCTATATGGTACAATCAACCTAGGTGGTACAATCTATGATGTACAATCTATGCGGAGCTATCACTGTAGTGCAGTCTATGTGGTGCAGTATAGGTTGTGTTGCTTCTATGTGGTGCCATGTATGTGCTGCAATCTATGTGGTGCAGCAGCTGTTGTGCAATCTATGCTGTGCAATATAACTGGTGCAATCTATGTGGTGCAATCCACTTCGACTGTCTTGAAGCTGTCCTCTCCACTGCTCGTGCAAACATCCCACCCTCCCACCCGCAACTTGGTCGCAAGACATCTTCAGACAAGACCGTGACGGTAGGTACTGCGTGGCACTTGGCCACGACACCGATGCCGACGACGACAGCGACATCGACGACGACGGCGCCGCCGACAGCGACTGCGACGACACCGACGACGTCTCCAATGTTTTCGACGACGACAACGACGACGACGACACCGACGACGACGACAACGACGCCGATGACGACGACGAAGACGACGACGACGTCGCCAACGGAGACGACGACGAGGGAGGAGAAAAAACGACGACGGCGACAACGACGACAACGACGATGGAGGAGGGAAGACGGCGACGACGCCAACGACGAAGAAGGAGGAAGGACGGCGACGCCGACGACGACAACGACGAGGGAGGAGGGAAGACGACGACGATGACAACGACGACGAAGACGACGACGACGGCGACGAAATAGGAGGGACGACGACGAGACGCCGACGACGGACGACGACGACGAGGGAGGAGGATAACGACGAGGGAGGAATGAAGACCACGACGACGACGACGACGACGACGACGGCGACGAAATAGGAGGGACAACGACGAGACGCCGACGAAGACAACGAGGGAGGAAGGACGACCACGGCGACAACGACGACGGAAACAACGACGACGCCAAAGACGACGAGGAAAGACAGAAGACGACGACGGCGACGACGACGACGACGACGAGGGAGGAGGGAGGACGACGACGACGACGACGCAAAAGCGCGCGCGCACAATTTTGTTGAAAACCCGTGTTGCGAAAACTTGTGTTTTTGTATGTTTTTTGGACGCGCGATTTCGAAATTCTTCCGAAACCGAAGGTTTTTGAAGGATTTCGGCATACGCCCGCGACGACGCGCGCGTCTGCACTTCGTCCCATTTTTTGCAGAGGATTCTCGCGACGGCACACGCGCAAGAGCGTTCGACAGATTTCGACATGCGCGCGCGCGAAGCCCGTTTGGTATCATTTTGTGAAAATCTTTGAAAACCTATGGTTTTCTTAAGATTTCGCAAGAGCTCGCGCGTAAGTTTTTTTTTTTTTTTTTTTTTGAATCAGTGTTGCGAAACCATGTGTTTTTTTATATGTTTTTTGGAATTCAATTTTGAAATCTCTCCGGAACCGAAGGTTTTTGAAGGATTTCGGCATGCGCGCGCGACGACGCGCGCGTGTGCACTTCGTCCCGTTTTTTGCAAGGGATTCGTGAAAAAGTGGTGTTATGTTAGAACAGAACATGTCACCGCATAGTGTTTTTTACAAGGGAACCGCAGGGGGGGGGGATACCGGCTTGGCTGGGATAGTATGAATTCATATTTAGGATGGACATGTGGTCAGAATCATATGTAATTTACAGCACGCGCGGGGGGGCCGATAAGTCCGGGGGGGGGGAAATCTATTAGTCTTTTAGAAAGGAGAATGTATGCAGTGCAAAGTATATGGTGCAACTTATGTTGTGCATCCTATGGGTTGCCGTCTATCTTTTGCAGTGCATGTGGTGCAATCTATGTGGAACAATCCATGTTGCGCAATATTTCTGGTTACATCTATGCTGTGCAATCTCTGTTGCGCAATCTATGCGGTGCAATATATTTGGTGATATCTATGTGGTGCAGTCCACTCTGCTGAACTTGAAGTCGTCATCTCCACTGCTCGCGCAAACATCCCACCCACCCACCCGCAACCTGGTTTGCAAAACCTCTTAAGACCGACTACGACGACACCGACGACAACGACGACGACGACACCGACGACGTCTCCGACGACTTCGACGCCGGCACCGACGCCGACGCCGACGACGACGAAGACGACGACGACGACGCCAACGAAGACGACGACGAGGGAGGAGGAAGGACGACGACGGCGACAACGACGACAACGACGACAACGACGAGGGAGGAGGGAGGACGGCGACGACGCGAACGAAGAAGAAGGAGGAAGGACGGCGACGCCGACGACAACGATGAGGGAGGAGGGAAGACGACGACAACGACGACGACGACGACGGCGACGAAATAGGAGGGACGACGACGAGACGCCGACGACGGACGACGACGACGACGAGGGAGGAGGAGGAAGGACGACCACGGCGACAGCGACGACGGAAACGACCACGACGCCAAAGAGGACGACGACGACGAACACGAGGAAAGACAGAGGACGACGTAGGCGACGACGACGACGCGGGAGGAAGGAGGACGGCGACGACGACGACGACGCAAGAGCGCGCGCGCACGCTTTTGTTGAAAATGCGTGTTGCGAAACCTTCGGTTTTTGTAGGCCCTTCGGACACACGATTTTGAAATCCTTCCGAAACCGATGGGTTTTGAAGGTTTTCGGCATACGCGCGCGACGACGCGCGCGTCTGCACTTCGTCCCATTTTGTTGCAGAGGATTCTCGCGACGGCATACGCGCAAGGGCGTTCGACAGATTTCGACATGCGCGCGCGCGAAGCCCGTTTGGTAGCATTTTGTGAAAATCTTGAAAAACCTATGGTTTCCCTAAGATTTCGCAAGAGCTCGCGCGGAAGTTTTTTTAGCAAATCAGTGTTGCGAAACCCATGTGCTTTTGTATGTTTTTGGGACTTCCGGCACCGAAGGTTTTTGAAGGATTTCGGCATGCGCGCGACGACGCGCCCGTGTGCACTTTGCCGCATTTTTTGCAAGGGATTTGTGAAAAAGTGTTATGTTAGAATAACAAATGTCACCGCATAGTGTTTTTTACAAGGGGACCTCAGGGGGGGAAAACCGGCCTAGCTGGGATGGTATGATTTCATATTTAGGATGGACGAGTGTGCAGAATATATACATATATATATATATATATATATATAATATAATATATATGAACTCATAAAATCCCAGGGGGAACCGATAAGTCCGGGGGGGGTAGAGTCTATTCTTTTTTTTTAGAAAGGAGAATTAATTTCAGTTCGCAGTGGAGTTGTCCACCCCACTGCTCGCGCAATCATCCCACCCACCCACCCGCAACTTGAATTGCAAAGCCCATGCGGCGGCGATTGCGATGAGTGCTTGGAGTTGGGTGGTGCA